GTACTTTTAGCTGTCGAAATGTTCCGTAAAATCGTTTTTGGATCGTCTTAATAGCTTTAAAATTAAGGAAGTTATCGTTAAAAAACCAACGGTACCTTACAGCTTCAATTTTCGGAGCATATCAATATTTTGGTTGTCGAACAGGGAAACTTTGGACCAAAAGCAACAGAATATTTCTTGTGTGGTCTCGGGATGTGTAAAGAATTATTTCCATGACATCACTGCTTGTCATAATAGTTAGACATGCGTAGGGGAAAATATAACGAAATACATTTTTTTATTGAAGAAAGTGAACGAAAATATAAATCTTAAAATCTTAACATTTCGTGGAATTGAATATAAGATTTCAACACAAGTTTCACTATATTGGTTTGATATATATTTTGACATTTCTTATGAAATTACTACAATTGATTCTAGATGGCCAAATATGTTTCAAGTTACAAAAGAATCATGCACCACAAAAAAGTTTGGGGACCGCTAGTATACCTGCCAACAGTTGAAAAGGGGGAACAACGTTTCGTGGAATCTCGAAGCAATTTCTGTTAAAACCGATACCAATACCGATAAATTAGACTTTTCATTATTTAGATATTTATTATGTTTGTTATTTTTCAGACATCTACAGCACAAATTACAAACGTCAGTTGCAGGTCACACTTTCTCTTACAATATACCATAGTGTGACCTTTGCGGAAACTTTCCTCCAATAGGTGTGCAGTTATAATAATAATAATATACATATATCCTATAAATTAATTAACAGTAGTTATTTAACGTACCATACACGGCGATCAAGTTCCCTAAAAAAAATTACGCTTACAGTTATCAGGTCTAATCATTCCACAAGACTAATTCTTACAAAACATAATTTGGAAAAAGAGTAATAAAAGACAAAAATTTAAAAAAATCATGTTTCTGTTTGGAACAATTAAGGAATTGTTAATTGTCTTGAGCCCACCTAACATTCAATAGCATTGGACCCAGAGACCGCAGTGCATCCGAATGCAACTGCCTCCCGATCATTTAATATTTATGATACTGTAAATTTTAATTGATTATTACAATTCCAGATATAGCATCGTCAATGCTCTGAAACTAGGTCAGTTGCCGTAAGAAAATGTCATTGTAACTGCCAAGAATAAATCCAATCACATTTACAATACAAATGCTTACCATCGATCGCAGATCTCGCTCCTGATACCCTTATAAAGCAGATATATTAAAATATGAGCGGTACAATTTGTCTTGACGACAAAGTATCTACATGAATTATATATGAAAGATTAAATATGTCAAATTATTATAAGCTATTTTCTCGACAAAATTTCAATTTCCGGAATATAAGTGCTTTTATAAAATTATGAAAATATCTTCAGAGACATGTTAAGTATCAAGCTTTTGTTTCAAGCCTATAGGCTTGTTAGCAAATAATTTAATAATATCCAGTATACAGGATTTGTGTATTCAAGTGAGAATCTGCTAATGCAATTTGTCTTGCTTTGTAATAAATTAAAATTATTCCATTAATTCTATATTGCTATATATCGGGTGTCCTAAAAAGACCCGAACCCCCGATAACTCTTCAGGATTAAATCCTATCAAAAGAAGTTTCAGAGAAAAGCTGTGGGATTTCAAAATACCAATTCAGTGGTGACCTTGTTTTTGACCTTGACTCCAGTTGACTCAAATCAAGGTCATCTTAAAAATTTCAAATAGAAATTCCTATTTTTGGTTTTATAAATCGATAGAGAATAAAATTTTACGTCCGAATATGGAATCAAAAATTTTTCCTTGGATATCCTTGAAGGTCATTTCAAGGTCGAATTTGTTTTTTCTTAACTCGATGGGATTTTAACTATAGAGGAAAATGTTGCAAGGAATATCAATAGTACCATTGATGACAAATTTATTAGTGACCTTTTATTTGCCCTTGAATTTATGTTCTTGGTCAAATCAAAGTCAAATTGAAAATTTTGAAACCTGTGTTTGTAATGTCAACAACAATAAAACACCAACTTTAACGTCCAACTCTAATAAAAGTTTGTTTAAAAATCATAATAATGATGATGATACAGAGAAATAACTTTGATGATGATGATAAAGTGAAATAACTTTTTTACCCAGTTTATTTCAGAGGCTATAGATACGGGCAGACAAATTGACGTAATTTATACCGATTTTTCCAAAGCCTTTGACAGGCTCGACCACCATACTAAGTAAAGTTAACGCTTATATGGTTTTTCTCCCACTTTAATTGATATGCTTCATATCTTGACGATAGGAGTTTGTATGTGGAATACCGTGGTTTCAAGTCTGCTAAATTTGGTGCAACGTCTGGTGTTCCGCAAGGTTCTGTATTGAATCTCTTGCTCATTAATTTACTTATTAATGACATTATTGCTAATGTTAATGCGAACTGTCTACTTTATGCTGACGACATGAAATTGTTTTCTGTTGCGGGTGATAATCAATGTGTAATGTTACAAAACAGTTTCGATGCTGTCAATGCCTGAATAAATTGCCGTTGATATTTAAAAATGTAATATATTGTCCTATTCCAGAGAAAATTATGTTACACTTTTTAATTATAATTTGAACGGAGAAATCTTGCATAGAGTCAATGATATTGTTGATTTGGGTGTAAAGTTTGACTCAAAACTAACTTTCAGTAGTCATATTCATAGAATATTGTTTTATCTGGTTATAAGTTTAGATTTTTTAATTAGATTTTCTAGAGGTTTTGATGATATCGATTTACTTAACCTACTATAAAATTCATTTGTAAAAAGTAGGCTTAAATATGATTCGCTAATTTGGAATCCAGATTAAAGTAAATATTCCAATAGCATAGAAAATATCCAGCATCGTTATCTAAAATTTAACCTTTAAAATTGACAACGCGTACCCACCTATTGGCATCCCTCAAAAGCAACTGTTGAATAGATTTTTATTTCTTAGCAACTTTGTTCCTTAATATTCTTATATAAAGTAATACATAATATTTATTTACACATATTAAATTTTCATGTTTTTACCTTTGGAACACGAAACGTTAGAACATTTTAACTACATACTTCTTATAGACCTAGTTTTATACAGTTGAGATTCAATATATATTTTTTGTAATTTGTACGATTTTTGTTCTGCAATAAAGTATTGTATGTTTAAAGTTGTGCAATTAATTTAAAGAAGAAACATAAAACTCTAACACTACTCCACGAACAAATGCCTTGAGGTTTTCGCTTCTGTATTAGAATGTATGTGTCAAAATTATAATGATATTCAAGAGCAGCTTGATATATTTGATGCTAATATTACTAATATAAAAAGATATTTGTGAAGTAATTATATAGTGATATTTTAATTGGTATATGTAGTAAATGTAGTACTTGTTTTGTCTTGTGATATATTGTTTTTTATGTTTCTCTATGTAAACCCCCATTCCGTAATTGGTCTTGTACTGTGGGGTAGCGTAACGAGATAAATAAATAAATAAATATGAAGACTAAAAATTTCTAATCTGAAATCCAAATTTCAAACTGTATCTTTTCTCAGTATATATATATATATATCGGTGCGCTATTATAAAACTGATAAAAAAATGAGCGTGGTAACCGACACCGGCGTGACTTTTTGTCCGTTTCGCGAAATCGATTTCGAATTTAAATTGTTTCCTTCGACTTTAACACCTCCGGTCGTTTGTGTTCGGACGGGCAATTAATATTCCCTGATGGATTTTTAATTACCTCTCTAATGAACGTTATTGTGTAAATTAACGAGTGAAACGGGAAGATATTAAAACATCTACGAAATTAATAAATTACGTGAACTCCCATCAGCGAACGCGTCGAGTTTTTATTAAATTCCTTTTAGCAAGGTGCAGGTGGAATGTTGCTAAAATGTAACAGGAATTCTTAAGAGGAAGAAGCAGAAGAACGAAATCAGTGCGACCGACGTAGAGAATATCTGAATCAAGAAAGGATACGATCCATCTGTCAAAATTCAAAGCTTGCATGCCGCCGCCTCTACTCCCACACGACTGATTCATGAGCTAATTTTCAACATGGGTATGTATTGTAAAATTATTATTACAGTTAGGCATTTTCTTCAAATAAAATTTAAAAATACCAATTTAGGTAGAAAAGTCTTGTCGCATCACATTTCAGTCGATATTATAATGTACTTAGTGGCTCTTTTGTCAAGTTATTCAGTGAAACAGGAGTTTGTCCTCCAAATTATTACCAAGGACATATCGGAAAAAAAAATCACCCCCATATCGATTGCTGGCATAAAAATAGGGTGTTCTATTCAATATTTTCAACATAACCTTGGGTTGACCTTGAAATTTAAGGTCAAGGTCACCAACATATCGGTTTCTTGATATCCTAGAACTTTTACCTGAAACTTTTTTTGATAAGACTGAACCCTGTAAAGTTATCCATGTCATTTTGGAACTCTCGTGTAATAAACTATTTATAACCACCACAATCTAGAGTTCAAGAGAGAGAGACAAATCATCATAAATCGTGTTGCAGAAGGGTATAGGACTTGCTTCATTGTACCTATATCATCTGTATAACAATTCAACCGACCATAAGGTTAGGTAAACCGAAATTGTAAAAAAATAAGTGATATGTAATTTCATGTTATTTTATTTCCTTACTGAATACCATATTTCTGCAGAGATCTGCTCTGCAACTAGTGCCCAATGCTGCAGATGATACCCAACCTGAAACTAGTTAACATCCAAACAATAAACAAGGTTATATTCTATTGTATTACCTCAAGGTTCGTATATAGGACGCCTTTTCTTGACTTTTTTCTGGGATTTCTCAGAACATATTTGTAACGAAGCCTTGAATTTAATGAGAGCATAATGGATTTGGCAAAAGTGTGCATAAAATCAACACTCTTTCCATTCCGGGACCAATTCTACGAACAGTCAGAGGGAGCAGCAATGGGTTCACCAATATCTCCAGTCCTGGGCCAATATAAACATGGAAGCCTTCGAGAAAAAAGCCCTGGAATCCACAACGTTGAAGCCTAAGTGCTGGTACCGATGTGTTGACGACACCTTCATCATCTGGCCCCACGGACGCAACACCGCAGCGGATTTTCTGGTTTACATCAGTGGGATACATCCATATATCCAGTTTACCATGGAAGTAGAGAAAAATGCCGTCCTTCCCTTCTTGGATGTCTTGATTGAGAGGACACAAGGAGGCACTTTAGGACATCGAGTATATAGGAAGCCAACTCACACAGACAGATATCTGAATGCGGAGTCCCACCACCACCTAGCCCAGAAACAGGGGATCATAAATACCTTGATTCATCGAACGCGGATCATTAGCGAGCCAAGACACTTGGCTGAGGAACTAGAACACCTAGGCACGGATCTGAGAGGGAATGGCTACACGGCGAGAAATATCGAACCATCTATCAGGAGACATACGCCCATGAAGAAATGGGAGTACTCAGCGACGACGTATCTACCTTAGGTGAAAGGTTGTACAGATAAAATCGGGCGTCTTTTGAAAAAAAGGAATATTAACACAGTATTCAGCACTGTAAACAAGGTGGCAGCAGCGTTTCCAAAGACCTGCAACAACGACCAGTTCCAGGCCCGGTGTGTACAGTATTCCTTGCTCTTGCGGAAAGGTCTACATAGAACAAACAGGAAGGCACATCAACACGAGGTTAAAGGAACACAAAAGTCACCTCAAAAATAACAACTGGGAAAAACCGACAGCAGCAGAGCATAGGACGGACACGGGACACACAGTGGATCTGAATGAAGACCAACATGGTGGTGAGATTTTAGCCCCGACTATACAGAGAAGCATTAGAAATTTACAAAAATTTCAACAGGGGCGGTGGCGGATCTGTCAAATATATGGAAGAAAGTCATCAGTGAAAGCAACCCACTGGAACGTCAACAATGCGTACGAGGTCATCCACCGGAACGTCATGGATCAGTAACCACATCAAATATAAATAGTGACAAGATTAGTAGATCTCCAGTTTCGGAGTAACTTCTGAAGAAAACTTCAAGAGTTGTAAATCGATAGCGTGGCAACCAGCCCCGGAAATCATTCAACCAGATCTCAAACTGGCTCATGACTGGAACATTTTTTTATCCAGTAGGTATACGTATAAATTTAACGACGAAAGCTTCCAAGTGGATTTAATTAGCTAAACAACTCCAGCATAGGATATTCTAATTAACAGCGTAAAGCTGTTTCTTTCTCTCATTTCCTTGGATACGTTTGTTGGGCAAACACAATTATTTCTACTTCGGGGACCTCTTTGAGCGCTTTTTTCTATTTAACGATGTTCCTCGCTGGCTGGAATTGTCGGCTGTAGTTTGCACCGAGGAGCAAATACACAATATAACAATATTAATTGTAATATTCCTTGCACAGCTTGGTAATTGGAGCATATATTTTAACTTATAATTCCAAAATGAAAAAGTATCACCACATTAAATTAATAATTTTACTTGTATACATACTTTCGTCAAAGTCATTTTGTAAAATTAGAGTGATGGAAACTTAAGAAAAAAAAAATAAACCCACAAAGATACAACGAATAAAGCTAATCTCAAATTTTAACCACTCAATGCACAAATAAATTTTATTTGACAGGTAAATCTATGGTAATTTTTACTTCCCCCAAAGCTGTCAATTTACCAAACTTTTTGTCAGTCGCTATAGATAAAAGATTACGACACTTTTTCACTTGTACCCCTCGAATGACTTCTATTTGTAACCCATATTAGTGTCACGAAAATATAAGGCTATCCCAGAGGCAATTTTTAGCAGAAATCCGAGTTTACATAACGCGAAATGGTGTCTTTTGTTAAAGGTAGAGGAATTGGTAAATGATTCGGAAGATACTACATTTAGATGTGTCATAGGACGCGATATATTATTTCACCACGCTTCTGAATTCAATTTCTGTGTTGCACTTCATCCACATTAGATATTGTTTTCTGAATAGCCTGCAATTTCTATTGAATATTGTTTTAACTGGAAAACAGAGGTACACACTGTTAAAAGCGAGTAATGATTAAAATACACATACAAATACAACACATGAGCGACTATTTCCTAGCTATCGTTCTGTTCAGGTGATGGGTATTAATACATTTGGAAAAATACCAAGCGAAATTGCTAGACATACTGGTTTGCCTAATTCAAAGGAGTGAGGAAATGTTTTAAAGTTTAAAGGCATGGTGGTTTAAAGGCAAGAGTTATTACTGATTACTGACAGACCTTTTAATTTAAAAACTTTTATTGCAGAGACCCTTATCAAAGCATTGGAACTTTTCCACTGAAAACTATGTAATAAAACTGTCACTTCTGACACGATCATAGATAAAATATTAATAAATACCTACCTATAAATACATCAGGACTTAAACCTTCCAGACATACTAAAAGGAAGAATTACTATTTCGAACTCGGCGCTCGCTCCGTGGGGCTCCCCATTAGACGGACGGGATAATGGGGGCTCGCCGCATCGTCTACGCGCCTCGCGTCACGCGAACCAGCACTTTTATTTCCGGCACCGGGGCACGCGAGAGCATCCTCTGATCACTATCATTACCGTAACAATCCTTGCCCTTTTTATATATTTTAATTATACCTCAGAAATCCCACGGGCGACGGAAAAATCGGCCTCGCTCTTGCGTGCCGATTTTTGCGGCCGCCAGTGGCGTGTGTGGCCTACGGGCATGTCTCTGAATACCGGAAAAATCACTGGGTCTGTAACTGTAACCGTCGGGATATGGTACGTGCAACAGATAACATTAAAATTGCTAGTGCTAGATAAAATAAAACTTACCATTTCTAGAGGGAATGTTGAAATTGATCCCCATTAGCGAAGATACAGGCATGGCACCGACGCACCCAATTTTGGCGAATATTTTCCCAAATTCCAGGTATTTCCCTAATTGTGTCAGCAGCTTCAAGTATACGGTTTCGCAACTCTTCCACCGCACCGTAGCAATTGGAGTATTGTAAACCAGTGACTCCAAGTGACTCCTAAGATAAAAGTCCATTGGAGTTAGATCGGGTGACCGAGGTGGCCACGGCACAGGACCAAAGCGTCCAATCCATCGCTGAGGAAACATTTCATTCAAAAGTGTCGTTACTTCTTGAGTACTGTGTGGAGGATACCCATCTTGAAGATAAAACATGCGTGCCCGAACTTGTAATGCCACATCGTCCAATAATCCAAGCAACCGGTTCTCCAAAAAGTCAGCAAATGTTGATCCATTTAGTCGTCCTTCAAAGAAATAGGGACCCACAAGTACATCGCCTATTATGCAAGCCCAAACATTTACCGAGAAGCGAGTTTCCCTAATCGCGTGATAATTTTCATCGGCCCATATGTGCATATTATGGAAATTCACTTCATCACGGGTAAATGTCGTCATATCTGTTACACAAACATAAGCAGGAAAGTCTTCTTGATTGGCACATTGTCGTAAAAACCATCTGCAAAAACGCATTCCTTGATCATAATCCGGGGGTAAAATCTGTCGAACTAGTTGCAGATGATAGGGGCGCAACAGCTGGCGCCTTAAGATGCGATGTACGGTACGAGATGAGGTTTCTACTTGCTGTGCGAGTCGTCGAGTACTAATTGTGGGGTATTCGTCAAGATTTTCCAACACTGCGTCTTCAAGGTTCACTTGCTAACCATGTCCTTCTACTCGAGGAATAACACTTCTCGCAGCCGCTGAACGTACTGTAGGATTGTATTTGCACATGGGGGGTGACGTTGTGGCCATCGTTCCCGGTACAACCTAGTCGCCGCGAGTGCATTTTCTCCAGCTGCACCATACACTAAATACACTACCATACCATCCACTACAGTTAATGCATTGTTTTATCAGTTCATTGTAAAACTAGTTCGTGCACAAACTAAAAAATTAAGCAAAGTAAGAAATAAGAATCTCGTTTCTAATGTAATCGGCACGCTATTCTTATTTTTTACTTCTTTATAAAAATTACACTGTCACTATTGTGGAATTACAAAATAAAAGCTTTTGTCTGGAATCTTTCACTTTTTAACACTGATGGGGTCGATGGACGATGCTTAATATTTAATAATTAAGTGAATATTGAATCCAATACAAATACAAAATCAGTTGCATGCATAAATTTTTTGACAATGTAACTTAACCTTCTTTTAGTATTACAAAGTATTAAATTATATGGACTTAAATTATAAGGTTGCATCTCGGGTCGCATAAAAGATTTCCAAAGTTTTTAATAAATGACATAGGGTCGGCCTTCATTTTCGTTGAATAAATGAACTTTAATTTACAAAAAAGAACGCGAAGATAGAACTTTTTCGTATACGACTTTTCTATTACAAATATCATCAGGATATTGTAGTTTAATTTTTATAGACACCCTGTATATGAGTTATTGCAACCTTCCAATAGCAACTTTATCAAAAGTCTTGCTAAAATCAGGATATAAGACATCAACTGGCTCGGAATGATCAAGAGCTCCAGAGTCCAATCATTGAGACAATGAAAAAGGTTGGTGGTAGTAGATCTACCCGGAAAAAAACCTTGTCGACATACCGAAATAACCTTGTTGTCGAGCAAACATTTTTGTCATTGACAATAATCTTTTCCATAATTTTACACTCAGTTGCAGTAAGACTAATTTGTAGATAGTTCTCAACGGTAAATTTATTACTGTTTTTAAATAATGGTATAACAGATGCTATTTTCCAAGCATTGGGAAGTGATGATGTTTATGAGTTCTGAATAATTATTAGAAAATGAACATATCTTTGAAACTGATGTAGGAAGGCCACCCGGGCTAGTAGTTGATTTAGACAAAGTAGCTAATTTATCAACAATACTGACTACCCTGTATGGTTAATTGGTATAATTTGTATAAAAAGAGTTGGCAAACATATTAGCTACTTTTTCTTTATCACTAACTACTCTCTAATCACGCACTCCTGGTAGTGACTAATATTGCTGATTGTATATCATAGTTATAAGAATAGTTATAAAAATGTTAGTTTGACCATATGTTAAAGATCGCACTCTGCTGTCTCTCCCAGTAATATTTTGTGACTATTTTTTTGAGGTAAAAATCTTTTACATATATGATATATATATTACAAAGTAAAATTTAATTTGGCATAAAAACACGGTAGTTGCTACTATCTCTCAGTAAAACTAAATTCGCAACAACCTATACATTATCTGAATATACCTTACACTTATATTTGTGCGTTATATGAACAATTTATAAAATTGAATAGACTACACACACACGAGAAGATTAACAGCCTAAGAAGATATAGCTATACCATTAATGAATTAAATACACAACATATTTATGGTAAAATAATAACTGATAAAACACCACTTATTTATATTAGGCATTAAAAACAAAGCCATAAAACCAATAATTTAAATAAATTTAATTGAAATTACCAGTTTCACGAATTTATGGTTTCT